AGACCAGGAAAGAATGGAATGACATATTCAAAGTTCTGAAGGAAAAATATCTGGGACAAGCAAGAGGACTTTACCCTCCAAGTCTGTTCTTTACAAAAGAAGGAGAGTTAAAGACTCCTGCAAACAACACAGTATAGTACAGACATAAAGACAGACATGACATATAGATCAAGGGACTAGAATAAATACCTCAGAAATAAATCTATGCATATATAGGCAATTGATCTTAGACAAGGATGCCAAAAATAGATAAGGGGAAAGAATACTCACTGCAACACATGGTGTTGGGAAAATTGCATATTCATATGGAAAGGATAAAACTGGATCCTTATCTTACACTATACTCAAAAATCAATTCAAATGGGTTAAATACTTAAATGTAAGACCTGAATCTGTAAGACTCCTAAAAGAAAACAGCATAAATCTTCATGACATTGGTGTTGGCAATGATTTCACGGATGTTATATCAAAAGCACAGGTAACAAAACAAAAATACACAAGTTATACTACCTCAAACTAAAAAGTTTATGCACAGCAAACAATCAATAGGTTGAAAAGTCAACCTATGGAATGGGAGAAAATATTTTCAAACCATATAACTTACAGAGGTTTAACTTCTAAAATATATAAGATACTCCTACAACTCAGTAGCTAAAACACTAACAACCCAATTAAAAATGGGTAAAGGATTTGAATAAGTATTTCCGTAAACAAGGCATGCAAATGTGTAACAAGTATATAAAAAGATGCTCAACATAACTAATCATCAGGGGAATACAGATCACAATCATGATGAGATATCACTTCACACCTGCTAGGATTGTTAATATTCAAAAAACAAAAGATGGGAATAAATGGCAAACACTGGAGAAACTGAAACCCTAGCACACTGTTGGTAGGAATGTAAGATGGTACAGCCACTGTGGAAAACAGTATGGAGATATCTCACAAAATTAATAGGAATACCATACATTCCAGCACATTGCTTCTAGGTATTTATCCAAAATAATTGAAATTAGGTTTTTGAAGAAATATTAGCATTCACATGTTCATTGCAGCATCACTCACATTACTCACAATAGCCAAGATGTGAAAACAACCTAAATATTCATAGATGGATGAATTGCTATGGGTGTCCCTTAGGGTCCATGTGGGATTGGTTCCTAGACCCCCTGTAGACATTCAAATCTGCAGATGCTCAAGTCCCCCAGTTGGCCCTGTGGAAGCCATGGATACACAGGACTGACTGTATGTACGTTCAATAGAATATTATTCTCCTTTTAATGGATGAACCTTGCAGACATTATGCTAAGTTAAATAAGCCAATCGCAGAAGGACAAATGCTGCATAATTCTATTTATATGTGATACATAAAACAGTCAAACTCATGAAAGCACAGAGTAGAATGGTAGTTGCTAGGGGAAAAGTGTGGAGAACATGGAGAGTTGCTTATTAATGGATGTAAAGTTTCAGTTATAGAAGATGAACGTACTCTAGAGATCTGCTGTACAACAATGTCCCCATAGGCAGCAATAATGTACTGTACACTTAAAAATTTAAGAGAGTAAACCTCACATTAAATGTTTTTACCACAATAAAATATTGAGGTGGTCCCCACATCATGGACTAGATACATCCTGACAAAGTCTTTAGGTTATATGAAATCTGGATCCCTGATGAACAATGAATATAGGGCAATAATAATGAGAACAATACCACCACTACAATGGCTCATATGTGGTAATAATAATACAGCAGAATACTAAGAAGAAGAATACCCCTGTACTATAACAATGTTACAGAAACTATTGTGCTCTTTCTTTTAATTCAAACAATCAGAACACAAAAAACAAACACATACAAAAAGTTTAGAAGGATACAGGAGAAATTTCAAAAAAAGAATATTAAAAGTTAACACTCACCTAATGTTGCATCAACACTAGGTTAATGAACATGTTATACTTAGCTTGATCTTCTAATCAAATCAATAACTTTTAAATTTCAATAATTAGTACACTATGCTGTGTAATAATAATTGATGCTTTCACTGGAGCACTGCCTTTCACATGTTCCATTATTCTCACTTTATCCTTTAAAATTATTCCAATAGTTGGGAGATTGAAACCTGATGCCTTCCCACTGAATGATGGCATATGGCCTTTCCCTGAACACTAATTATTTCTACTTTCATTTCAATTTTTATCACCTTTCTCTTTGCTTCAGGCTCACCTGTACTTGCAGTGTTCTTTTGCATTGAAGGCATGGTCACAAGGGTAAACACAGACTCACAAAATCAAATTAAAAACCAATATATAATCACCCACACTTTCATACGAATGATAAAACACAACTATAGCCCAGAATGAAGGAGGGAAGAGGAGGGTAAGAGGAGGGGAGGGGAGAGGCCGGGTGGATGAAGGGTAATTGGTGGGAACTCACCTATTGTGCATAATGCAAGGGTACATGTCAAATCTATTAAGAGTAGAGTATAGGCTTGGTGCCTGTGGCTCAAGCGGCTAAGGCACCAGCCACATACATTTGAGCTGGCGGGTTCAAAT